CATCTGTGGAAGCCGTAATACTGTAAAAAGCACGACCAATCATTTTAGGCGGCCCTGCTAAAATAACTGGATGGCCTACCTGCCTGTCAGCCTTCCATCTGTGCACAGACTTATCTCGTGCCCTCATTGGTCATGTGCGCGTTCGTGTGTGTTGGAGGAGGGGCTCTGTAAGGAAGTGGCAGATTTTCTCCGGTTGTGTATTTTCTAGGGCTGTCAAGTTAACGCGTTAATAACGCGTTAACGCAAAACAAAATTAACGCCACTAATTATTTTAACGCGATTAACGCATGTGTATTTTTTGTCCTCGGCCGCCCCGTAGTTTCAGAGCGCATCGAGTTTAAAATACCATCTACTGTACAAGCTGATGCTGACAGCCCCGTTCCTGCCGCCCGCTTGTGGCAGACCACACTTCCACGCTCACCGGCAGGCCCGGACTGGCCATCGGGAGGACCGGGAGGGTGTGTGTGTGTGTGTGTGTGTGTATGTGTGTATGTGTGTATGTGTGTATGTGTGTATGTGTGGCGCGACTCGCGCGAGCGAGGCACACCTTACGTGTTGTTGTTGTTAGCATCCGGTGCTAGCTAGCTGCGCTAACGGATATAAGGAGCTGTTTCAATGACATTTCGCCGACAACTGCGCCGAGCACTTGACTTTATGCAGGTAGCCAGACAGTGGGACATTGTACGAAAAGTCAGCACACTCAGCACGGATAGTACGCGCAACATGATTGCAGCTCCCGTTCGAGCATATATGCCTTGAGCTGCACATAGCTCCAACGATCTCCACACACACACACACACACACACACACACACACACACACACACACACACACACACACACACACACACACACACACACACACACACACACACACATTATTGTATGAGAGAGGTTCTTGGTTGAATTGAGGCGAATATTTGTAATGTTCAGAGGTTGTTGTGTTTAATATTCATGAGAATATTTGTCATTGTTCAAATGATAATAAACAAACATATAAAGCATATTTGTCCACTCATATGTTGATAAGAGTATTAAAAACTTGAAAAATATCCCTCTAAGGTACATTTAGAACAGATAAAAAATGTGCGATTAATTTGCGATTAATCGCGATTAACTATGGACAATCATGCGATTAATCGCGATTAAATATTTTAATCGACTGACAGCCCTAGTATTTTCAAATTCTAGCGATCTCGAGCCGGTTTCTCAAACTTACCTACCCCACCTTTAAATGTATGTAGCTATTCAGTTAATGCTAATATTGTAATTCATTCATATTCATGCCTGTTGTTTTCATCAGTCAAACTCAGAATGCCTCTACATCTACTGTACATCACAACACTATATCGACCAGGGAAGAGAAATATTCGTATTCCATTTAACTGATTTTGTGTAACAGTTTACTGTATGTGCATGTGGGTGTGTGCTCTTTCCTTACTGTCTGTGCCAGGAGGATGATGTGAGATATCTCTGGATTGTATTTACCAACAGCCTCAAACGTCACCCTGCAAGCACCCTCCCTATAAAAGCTGTGATCTTCTTATTTGCTGTCTGCTTGCATCCCACGCTGTCTCCGTCTCACACTCCATGCTCACCTCATGAGCCCAGCTAGCATCACTATACAAATAACATGGTAGAAGCCACACCTGAGGGAAAGCTGATGGAAGGAGGCGTTGGTGGCGACAAGGTGGTGCGTGGTTTTGAAGGTGGAGTTGAAAGCAGTGTGAAGATCACTTGCAGCCTTCTTTCCAGCCGGCCCTCTGCCTCTCTGCTAAGCAGGGCCCGTTGCCAGCGCTCGCAAAGGCTGTAATGAGTTTATTTCATGTCGGCTGTGAAAGTGCCCGTCTCTGTCTCGCAGGCACTCAAACAGAGCTGAGGCCCATAAACACAAAGTGCAGTGTGTAAATCCCCACAGCCTGACGTCTCCCAGCCTGCCCTCTATGGCTTCTGAGCATCTCTGTATCGAGAGGGAGAAAGGGATAGGCGAGATCCCCACTTACCCCTCAGGAGAATCCACAGGCAGGGCTACAAGGTGCAGCCCGGCCCCCTCACCAAAGACCACTTGTGTTGTGATCTTCAACCTCTGCTGCTTACACTTGTCTCTTCAGAGAATGCATGTGTTTTCATGTCGAGAGGCGATCAAACGGCCGGCTGCCATGAAGAACACGCTGTGTGGTGTAAACAGCAGCAGATCAAAAACAGCCGCATTGATTCGCTCTGGCTCGTGGTATTTCACCTCTGACGAATAGGACATCAGACGTTCGCTTTCCATGACGTCAGCCGGCCTTGCTTGCCCTCCTCTGCTCTCCTGTTTAATTCCCTCCCCTCGGTGTATTGCAAAATACCTCCCCTTGAATTTCCTTTCCAAGCACAGGTCGGTGTCTCGACACAAGGTCCCTGTGTAGAGCTGCGTCCTCCCGGGGCCTCGGAGCCAGTGGTAGGTCACCGGTTAAAGAAGCAGTGAGTGAAAGAGCAGGAGGGAGGAAGGGATGGTGAATGAGAACGAGGAGTTTCTATCTCTTTCCTCCCTGACATGGCTTTGGTCCGTGTTGAGGGATTAGTGTGTGAGGCTCCACCACAGCTTCTACCTTGGCTTGTATCCAGATATTATCTTTAAGTGTGAGTTTGGCCTCTCTCTCTCTCTCCGTTTCCCTTCCCCCTTCCCGTATGAACTCAGTAGTGTGAGTCATCCCAGGCTGCTCGGGGAGTGATTTAATTGCTCTCTCTCCTCCTCCTTAAATGTGCACTTCTCAAAGAGGGCTGTCGCTGACCCCTCCACTCCTACAAAAAACACCAGTGACCTATTCATTACCGCAAAGGTTGACCCACCTCCAAAGACAGCGTAAATACACAATGCTGAAATTTGTTCGGTTCGCCCTGTTGATGCCGGCTCCTGCCGCGCTTCGCCCTGATAACTCTTCTTTATTGTTTCCCGCGGTTGTAGCTGAGTGAATGTGGGCACAATACGCACGATTGAAACGACCCCACAGCACCAGAAGAGCTTTGGTAATCACAGTAAAGGAAAAAGCGCTCTGTTGTCATCACACTGGGGGTCACAGAATTGTTTTGTGACTGCCAATTGTTTGTTATAGAGGCTTTGAATTGTTCCAGGTTGAAATTGTGGCACAACATTCTCATTCAAAATAACACACTGAGGTTTTCTGTTTTTATGTTTTTATGAGATGCAATATGTGAGGGGACAAAACCTATTCTATTACACAAATATTACATCTTTCTATTTCATTTTCTCTGAGCAATTTGGGCTCCAATCAATGGCGTGTGGGGTATTCGGACAGCAATCTGTGCATTTGTATGTCCCACTTCTCTGCACTTGTAAGTGTAGTCAGTAGGTGGCACTGCTCCTACAGACCAGCAGTTATTTCCTAATGTGATGTGTAGAGGCTACCTAACTTGGAAAGGCTGATTGTGATTGGAAATAGGTCTGCCTTGACTCAGAAACACCCATCCATATACTGTATGAACCCTCTCAGATGAAAGACTTGTTTGTTGTTAATAGGGGAGAGTAATTATTGCACCACCACATCAGTCCCATCTCATTCAAGTGATTGAACATTGACGCTGGCTGTGTGATAGACACAGCTCAAAAAGGGGGCGAGGAGGCTAAAATGCCACTGTGATTATAACAATTAGAGAGGCAGAGCATAAAGAAGAGTGCATTGCTCCTGGGGCCGACTGGCTTTTTTCCCCTCCCCTGTGATGCTGATGAGTGTCTCAGAGTTGTATAAGAGCGGACGGGGATCAATGGAGAATGCTGACTCCTGAGAATACTATGGATGTACTCTGGAGTGGGTGAGATGGTTACTAATCCAGAATGATTATGCAGTGTACTCTTTGCTCTTGGCCTAGTCTAGACAAACAACACATACTTACACACACACACACACACACACACACACACACACACACACACACACACACACACACACACACACACACACACACACACACACACACACACACACACACACACACACACACACACACACTCTCTGTTACAAGTAAGAGTCATGGATTCATCATCGTACTCAATGATCTTAAGAAAAAAAGTATTACCATCAAATATATTTGAAGTACTCTTTTTGCAGTATGGCCACATATTAGAGTCATATTTAATAGTCTATGTCTTAACTAAAGCTGTAAAATAAATGTAGTGGAGTTAATTTCAACATTGACCAAAAAATGTGGTGGGGCAAAGTTATATTGTACACCACACACACAAACACGTACTGATGTGTACAGATACTCCAATGAAACAAATCAAATCAAATCTTTAATAATAGGCATTTGGTTAAAGTCACTTTTCATTCCCACAAAAGCACACACTCAAGAGTTTTGCTGCAGTTTGCAGTTTGCTCCCCCCCCCCCCCCCCCCCCCCCGAGAAACAGATTTATTTCAGATTTAACTAATGATCTCACTAAAGCTATACAGATGTTGTTGCTTCCATCGCTGAGCCATCGCCAGGAGGCAAAGCCTATAGGAACACAGACAAAGTCCTAATGCTTACCTCCAGATCCCTCCTCTTCCCTGCTGCCTTCATCCTGCCTCACCCGCTCCATGCTGCACAAACAGAGTGGATGCTTCTGAGGCAGTCACAGCATATATTTCAAAATACTGCATTGATTTTGTTTTCAAAGACATTCAAATTTGAGAATGTGTCAGTTTGTCACATCTGAAAACAGCATGCGGAATTAATGCTGTGATTCAGTGAATACTGTGTGGTTAAACTAGACCTGGGCCAAGTAGTGTATCTGATACACTTTACACTACCATGAAGACGAATGGGTTATAAGATTGACACAGTGAAGACTGCAGAGACAAAATCACTGCAAGAAGGATTTTTATATATTTCTTTCTGTGACAGCTTACCTGCCATTTTCTATCGTACAGCAAAACTATTGTTACAGTCATTTCAGCGATTTTCTTTCTTTATTAATTTTTTTTGTCACTCCTCATATGTCCTCCTCTTCTCTTTACAGCTATGTTGGAAGTGAACGTCCCGGAGCAGCCAGTGGTGGTGCTGCACGGCAGGGATGCCGTTCTCAACTGCTCCTTCAGTCCCGCCAGCGCCTATAACTTGTCCGATCTGAGCATCTTCTGGCAGCTGACGGACACCAAACGCAATGTGCACGGGTACTGGGGGGGGCGCGACCAGCTGGTAGACCAGGCCGAGAGATTTGCCAACCGTACCAGCATGTGGCCCGTCCAGCTGGAACTGGGCAACGCCTCGCTCCTGCTGAGCAGCGTGGTGGTGGCGGATGAAGGCAGCTACACCTGCTTCGTCAGGGTGCAGGACTACGGCAGCGCCGCTCTGCTGCTGCTGGTGGCCGGTGAGTCAAGCTCCGTGACACCTGTGGAAACAGACGAACATGCACATGGACATTTATAACCATTGGAAGGTAGAAAATAGATACACACATAAAGAAAAAACATTCCTTACAAGGGAATGACTGCAAATTAGCTTCATATCGACAAATAATTATATCTAATGCATTTATTATATATATAACTATGTTTATCTGTATTGCTCTTGTAGAATCAATTAACAAACACCAAGATTGACTTTAATTATCATTTAGAATTATTTCTCTCTTTCATAATCAACACAATATTTTATCAAGCAAAAAAAAAAAAAAAATATATATAAATAAGCTCACAGCCTAAAATGTATGTATTTCTTCAAATGATTCTCTTTGACTTTGAAAGGGTACTATAGCAATTTAGTATAGCACCACAAGTTAGACAGTGAGACATATTTTAACTGGGTCTTTCATAATATAGGATTTGCACTCAAGGATTATTATTAAAAAAATAATGTTACCAACACACACACATACACGCACACACACAAATGCGTACAGATGTGTACATATATTGTTTTTTGTCATGCTGTTTCACTGACTAACGTTTGCATCGTAGCTCACTTCACACTTTGAAGTGATTGTATTGAAAGTGATTTGACCTCAGCCCTTATACACACATATACACCAACAGCACTTAATACAATCTATTATTCAATTACCTACAGACGAGGTTATTTATGATTATGTCTTCTCACAAGATGTGCAGGTGATAAACAGTTTCCTCAGGGCTGCTGTGGTTTTGCTCAATAAGCGCTGATTGTGGTCTGTCATGGTCAATATCTGCTGACTTTGATTATTAGCTGTTGTTACAGTCAATCAGCTATCACTAACATCTTCACTGCTGTGTGACTAGATTGCCCGCCTTCACAGCTGGGAGCCTTTTATATATTTATAATGATACTGTGGGCCGTTCCTTCCTTCTCCCATTTATGTATCTGTTGTGAGATGCTTCAAGGATGGATGTGCATTAGGCGGTGTTAATGAATAACATGTTTTCATCTTGGCTGGGGAAAGGAAAAACAATGACTCAAACGGTGACAAATTGGTTCCATTTTTATGCATTAGATTTATAGATTTTCTATTTTTAACCAACATTTACAGTTATCTTTGTAGTCTTCCTTGAAGCTGTGCTGGAAGAAAATGAAAGGAGCCCCTTGATGGAAATCTGCCTGTCAGTCAAACGGACAGCTGGGGAAGTTCGTGTGTACCACGCTAAATCTGTCTTTGTGTTGAGAGTCCACTTTTGAAAAATCAGCTCAGGCAAACTTATTTCATCTCGCCCTCAGCTCCACCCCATTGTTTGCTGTGCAATGATTGGTTCTGGGAATACAGCAGCCTATTTCCCCACCACCTCTATACTCATGTTTCAGCTCAAGGGATTGAAGAAGCGTGATTTCAGCTGAGGCGGACAACTAACCCCTCACCTACACACCCCTTCGCTCTTTTCCATGCTATAGGCTGAGTCTTTTTAAATTTCTGAGCCTGCCACTTTTCTCCTAGGCCTGCCTACCTCGGCCCCCGAGGCTTGCACCGTATTCCCTTTCTGAAAGTGTCTCAGAGCTTTGGGTCTCTAGAGAAAGTGGCGTTGAGAGTGTAGGGATGCAGCATCAGGATGTGCCACAGATGCTCTCTGTGTCTGTGGGATCTTAAGCACTGTGTTATGCTAAGCTCCCTAAATATAATTAAGAATTTAATGGGAATCATGTCAAACAGTTCCCAGGGTGACTCTCACTGCAGAGAATCTAACTAAATTCACTATGTGTCTGCTTCTCCTTTTTCCCCTCTCCATCTTTACCCCCCCATACCTCTTTTTCTCCCCCATCCAACCCTTTCCTCCTCTCTCTCTTACCTTTTTCAGCCCCTTACTCCAAGCCTGTAGTGACGTTGGAGTCTGAAACCAACCTGCGGCCAGGTGATGAGTTGGCACTAACTTGCGTGGCCTATGGTGGGTATCCTGAAGCAGGCGTGATATGGCAGGATGGAGGCGGGCGCAACTTGACGGACAATATCACCACTTCACTGGTGGCCAATGAGGAAGGGTTGTTCGCGATGATCAGCGTGCTGACGGTAGTGCTGGAGCCCAACAGCACCTACAGCTGCGGACTGATCAATCCACTTCTGGGCGAGGAGGGCTACGCCTTTGTCACAATCACAGGTGGGTGTGGGTTTTCATCTCCCTTTCTCTATAAATAACTTCCAGGCATTTCAGTCAACAATGTCAGCTCCATTCTGGTGCAACGTAAACAATATTCACTGGCTTCCTGCCGGGTTTGAGTGTTACCATTTGAACAGCTAATCCACCTATTTATAACGTCTCGCTTAGACTACTGTAACTCCCTGTATATTGGTGTTGATAAGTGTTTGATCCGTCGCCTGCAGCTGGTCCAAAATGCGGCTGCACGCCTTCTTACTGGGAAGAGACGTTATGACCACATCACACCCGTTTTGGCAGACCTTCATTGGCTTCCTGTCAGTTACAGGATCCAGTTCAAGTACTTACTTGTTGTTTTTAAATCATTGCATGGACTGGCACCACATTACCTGTCTGAGTTGTTGCACCGCCATGCTCCAGCTAGAGCATTGCGATCAGCTCAGCAGAATATGTTGGTGGTTCCTCGGTGCAGGAAAAAGACCCGAGGTGACAGGGCTTTCAGTGTTGCAGCTCCCAGACTGTGGAATAGCCTCCCAGTACATATCCGGACTGCTGAGTCAATTGAACTTTTTAAATCTCAGGTAAAAACCCACCTCTTTGCACTGGCTTTTAATACTAGTTGAACATTACATTTTTACATTTGTATGTGTTTTTTTTTTTAAATATTTTTCTAGTTATTGTGCTTTTTATCATGTTTTTAATTATTGTTTTATTATTGTACTCCCATTGTGTTATTTAATATTTATTGCCTGTACAGCACTTTGGTCAACTGAAGGTTGTTTTAAATGTGCTATATAAATAAATAAAGATTGAGATTGAGATTACCAGCTCAGACTAATCTCACTTTCAGACATAGTTTCTTATTATAGTCTGCTATGCTTATGTGAATCAATCCATCAGTCAAATGTTATGCTATGGAGAGACTGTCTTTGTCCTTCTCAGTCTCTCTGTTTCAGTTACAGTTCCGCTCCAAAGAAATGAATTAGAAATAATGAAATGTCCAATTATAGTTCAATGAGCATAACCCATCAGTTCTCTTGCATCGGTAAGTGAGATCAGTGGGTGATCATTTCCCGGGGGACAGACAAATAGCTATTCATTACATATTTCAAAAGGCAATTTGGGTAATACAAAAATTGTGCTAGGGGAAAGGATCGGTCTCTTACCAGCTTATTGCAAGTGTTAGCTAACCAGGAAGTCGATTCATGTAATGTCTCTGTTTCTAATCTTGAACTTGGTGTGACAATACCATGTAATGGGTCTAATGGTCCCCTGAATCCCACAAACCATCTTCAGCCACAGCCCATGTCCCCCTGGCCCTGCTGCTGTACTATATGTGTTAAGTGCAAGGAGAGTGGCGTGTAAGGTGGGCCAAGGCTGGGGCTCTAATGGGAGCAGCCCTGTGTGAAATGGCTCATAAATAAGTAGAGGTAGCCTGAGCCGGCTCTCTGGGCTGGAGCTGGTGTTGGAGCTCGGACTGTTGAGGCGGAGGTCGAGGCAGAGGTCAGGGAGTGCTGCTCCACTGGGCTGGGAAATGACTGTGCTGTCTGAAGACGGGATGGCCGATTGGCAGGGCAGGTTCTCAGGGCGACTGAAGCAGGGTGGGCTTTTCTAAAAGTTTGGTTGGCCTCTTTCAAGACAGCAAAGCTAACCAGAGGGACCATTGGGGCAGTGGACAGGTATTAAACACATGGTAGGAATGAAATATGACATTAGGGTGACTGGTAAAATGGTCCTGGGCTGCTATTACCCTTTGATCCTGCCCGATGGATGTACTACTTCAGGTTTGGTTGAAATAGAAAAATATATAATCCTTTCACACGGCCAATGCTTGAGTTATTGTGTTTTCAGGTTGTCGGTACACACGCCTCTCTGTTAGAGTTGCATGATATTCTTCCATACATTTTCAGCCCGACATTTTATTCAAAAAATATTTCCCCTGATGGAGATCAGTGGCATAGCAGGAACTCTCAGTTATACACCAGAATTACATCATCTTACTATTGGATGGCTTCTCAGTGCACGACATAAATGCTTGGTCTTCAGGGATGCAATAGTGTCATCATAGTCCAATGTCTGTCGTCTGTTTTTGGAATAAAAGTAACAATAAACAGTTAAGTCTACTTGTCAGCGCGGTATGGGCGCCCTGCTGTGCCATGTGGATAACAGCCATTCTCCCGTACAACTCTTCAAAGCCAGTGTGACAATTGCTTTTAGTGGTTATAACACTCTAGGGAAACGACAAGAGTCCAAATTCTTTGTGAGTGATGGATTGGAAGCATTCTCTTTTAAAGAATTGTCTCTTCTGCTGTAACCACGTAGTTTATTTGAAACTTCAGAAACGTTTCTGTTTTATTTGATTGAGAAACACTTGCACTTGCATTATCAGACGTTCACTTAAATGGCTTTTATATAGGCCGGATCGTAATTCTGATGCAATTGCATCGTTGACTTTGGGTATGATATAAACATTTATTTGAAACATGTCATAGACAAATTAATAAAATAATGAAATGAACATGCTCAACTTGTGAAAAGCACTGTAATGTGTGATGATGTTGGGTTCCAATGCTTTGGTAATTCATACATTTTTTGAAGCTAATGGGGATCATAATAAAGAAGACAGACGGGTTGTTGACATTTGCGTTAAGACTTCATTCATTCACCGATTATTCCAGTGGGAGACACTTGCACACAATTTGGCATTTAAAGGAGACAGATAAAGTTGCAATGATCAGTTGATTATTCTATTAAATAGGGCAAATATTCTCTGTTCCTGCCTTCTCAAAAATAGGGATTCGATGCATTTGTCACACATGAGTATCTTTGGAATATAACCAGTTGGTAAGACAAAAGCTGACATTTGAAGATGTCACTTTTGACAGTGGGAAAATTAAACAATTTTCTCAATTTGATGGCAATTTATAGTGAAAAGTAGCTAGTTGCAGTGCTAATAGTCAATATTAGAGCCGTTTATATAGGCTTTGATTGTCTTAATCGTTTAATATGTGCCATGGTCCTGCTGTTCCTCTTACTACTTAAAGGAATCAGTTTGAACGGTGGCAGTCAAAGAAAGTACCAAGATGAAAAACAGACTGAAATCTAGACTTCAGGCCAAAGAGTAAGGATCTATCGTGTGATGAGTTACACATTTAAAGGGGACAGAAATCCACAAAAAAACTGGATAACCTTCAATTAAAATATTGGTGACCACGATTTACAGAAATTAGGTATACAGCCAGCAGAGCTCATTGATGGCCCGAGTTGCTGGTAAACACACCAAAGATTTACAGTGTTTTATGTGCCGCGAAAGAAGGGGGCTTGTTTGGAGAGAAAATGTATTTGCATTTGTTTACTGCAGCTGGTGTGTGCTTAACAGCTTCTGTAATTAATTTTGACCCAGCAAAAACTCTTCTGCTGGAGTAGCTGAGTGTGTATTGTGCCGAGCTTCAGTTGATATAGAGAACACACTTGCTTGCTGCATACACTTACGGGCACAGCACATCACACACTGCACTCAGGAAGTGGAGAAGCCTATTATGAGAATGGGGGAAATATGCTTAAAATTCTAAATGGACTATGAGAGTGAAAAAAACCCAATAAGAAATGAGTAAAAATAGAGAGACGCAGGGATGGGGGGAGGTTGAGAGTGAAGAAGCATGTGGAAATTTCACACTCTCCCCAATTTGTGATTGAAAAATTGCAATAGTAATACAAACCTCCCCCGGGCAGAACACGAGTCTGACAAGGTTAATTTTGAGAAAATGAACCCTTTACTCACACTGAGCGCAGCAGAGTCTGTGTGAAGTCATCCATGTCCTTCTAACCTCTTTTATAGTCACCGCCAATTGAACTACCTCCCCATGAAGACTGTCAACAACATGCACACTATCATGCATCTAAGGGACGGTTATTTTTGTACATGTGACCTGTGTATTTGTATAACATCTCAATGCCTTCATGTGTTCATTGCTCAGTTTAAGCCACGCTCTGACATAGGGAGTGTTTTTGTGTTTTGCTGGGATATTGATAGATTTTGCAGCAAAGCTTAGCTGCAGGGAGACTCTAAGGAACAGCTGGTATTAATGAATAGTTGAATGATGGAAAAGAACAGCTTCAGACCTCAAATGAACCGTGGCCTGTGTGCTTTCCTGGCAAGCATACGTGTCTACCAACCCGCCCTTCTTTCTCTCATCCTCCTCCTCGTCCACCTGCCTTGATGCTTTCCACTGTCTCACATTTCCAGCCTATTCTGACAACTTTGTTCTACTCAAAAAAAGAACAATGTACTTGGAGTTTGGGGGGGGGGATCAAGAGTCCATATCCAATCATTTTTTTACTCATCCTTTTCTGAATGTGGAGCTTTAGCAGTGTATCCCATCTACTGGAGCTGGGTGATTACTGCAGTGTGTTGTCTGATGGCCGGGTTTCAGGGCCTGTCACTGAACACCCCCTCTAGCACCACCCCCACTCCGTCTGCTTGCTCTCTCAATGAGGATGGCGCCATTTCAGCGGCATCTCTCTGCTGGCACAGCATTTACAGTGAACAGTGTGCGGATGGAGATATATAGAGCGAGGAAAGGAAGGAGACAGAGAGATGAGGCAGGGAGATAGAGAGAGGGAGCTGGGGGGACAGGGTTAGGAGGGGTGAGCAGTGGATGACAGAAAGTAAGATGGAGACGAAAACGTTTGCTGAGCTCGGAGTTGTGGCACTACGGCCTGACAGGCGGGAGATGGACTCGCTGAAGGGGAGGGAGATCACCCCACATGGTGTGGAAGGCTTTTTGCTGAATTTTACTATCTATCTGGCATTCTGTGGCTTTTCTCTTGGCAACACAGTGGCTCAGCGGTTAGCACTGTTGCTTCACAGAAAGAGGATCCCAGATTTCCTTCCCAGTCCCCGTCCTGTCTGTGTGGCTTTGGCTCGCTTCCTCTGTGTTAGTGTGGCTTCCTTTTCATCCCTTGGTTTCCTTACACATTCAAATGTCATGTCGTTTTTACTC